AATGGTTGCTACTAATGCCACGCCAGTGTTACACAAATTACATGCTAGCACTTTATGTTGTGTTTTATATTTATATTTGCTGTGTTTTATCTGTTTTAAAAATTTTATGTGAACTGCCCTGAGCAGATAAATCATATAAATATGTGGAAAACAGTGAGATTATAGGAGTGCATAGCCAAGTGGTAGACAAAGAGGGCCTTTCCCCTCCTTTCATGTTGTTTGAGTCCGAACAGCAGAGAACGAAACACTGGAACTTACTTGAAGGTTTCTTCTCTTCAGTGGGGTGAAGTCATCCAAATTGGTTAGGTCACGCCTTCTCTTGCTCCTGGCAGGGCTATGCAAATTTGAGTAGACTGTATTGGCTCAGAGCAAGGCTGACCCTCCGGTTTTAGAATAGCCTAGCTCCATAACAGATTTTGCATCCAAATACATTTCTGGCCACAGTTCTGGCACAGCTGTTCTTGAAAAAGAGCAGTTTCTGTCAGAGCTCTCTCAGCCCCACCTACCTTATGGGGAGGGGAAGGGGAAGGAGTTTTTAAGCCACTCTGAGACTCCCTTGGGTAGTGAAGGGTGGGGTATAAGTCCAATTTCTTTTTCTTCTATTTTATTTTGTGTGGGATGTGGATGACTTTACCCCACTGAAGAGAAGAATCCTTCAGATAAGTTCCAATGTTTCATTCTCCTTCAGTGGGGGAAGTCAACCAAACTGGTTATATGCCCACACTATTACCTGGGTGGGATCCTCATTCTTATTTTCTGTTCTACCACTAGGCTGCACACCTTTCTACCAGATGAAGCTTCTGCTGATTTTAACTGGTCCCACCTATAGTGTCTCACACAGGTATAAAAGGTGGACCAGGATGTGACTCTACCAATTTCTTCCACCAGAACACTGGTGGAAAAGGTCGCTGTGTTGCTGCAGATTTAGTGTAGTGGGGCATAACATCCTTTGGAGGTCCTAGGCCTTGCACTTCATATACCTCTTGGATACATGGCTTGAGATGGTTCTACCTAAAGGCTGTGAGCTGTGAGACACAGACAGAAAATCCTTTAGCCTAATCTGTGCTATCCTATTAAGCAGATGCAAGAAGCCCTGCGCACATCTAGTTAACATGGTGTAGGACAAAAAGATGGTAGTATCAACTCTTGGTTAACATGATAAGGGAAAAAAACTTTGGCACAAAGGAAGGATCCCTCCTGAGTACCACTGAGACCTTGTGAAATATACACAATTCCTTCCTGGCCAATAAAGCCCCTAATTCAGAAATCCTTGCAGAAGTCATCTCTGCAAGAAAAAAGAAGTCTTCCAAGAAGGACAGTTTAGATTCCGACTATTTGAAAAGATCAAATGGAGGTTTGCTCAAGGCCTGTAACACTTTAGAAAGGTTCCCAGTAAGCAACCTATGCCTAATCGGAGGTGCCAACTGCCTGTGAGAAGAAAAATTAGGCAGTCTTATGTGGTCCCATATAGTGGCCAGTGCTGCAACCTGTGTTTTATAGAATCTGGTCTTAGAACCTGATTCCAACCTTTGTGTAGAAAGGGAATGTCTTTGGAAGTACAAACAAACACAAAACCTTTATTGGCATGAAAGCACAAAACATGGAAATACAGGAAAATAGTAAGATGCATCAGTCGCTTACACTTGGCTATTCAAGCCTCATCTTCTGATTGCATAATATAAAAAATTTGCAACAGCCTCCATTATTTCCCAATTAGAATTAAACAGAAGAAAGTGAACAATTGAGTCATCAGAGTGCCAGCTCTTACCCTCTAGAAATGGAGTAATAAAACAAGATTGGATATCCCTATAGGGGGGGCAATGAAGTATGGTGTGTGTGTAGTGGATTCTATATCTTTTAGAGAGCAAGGACAAAGTCCGTCTACATATGGTATCTGGCGGTACCCCCTAAAAGCACCTCTGATGGCAGACCATTAAAGCGTACAAGCATGTATGCTCTGCGATTATGTGGGGCTGTTAAACTTGACAGATACTTCGCAGTAAAGCCCATGTCAAAAGTCCCCAACCTACTTGGGGAGCATTTGCTGGCTGCGTGTTCCCTAAGTTTTTGCATTTTGATATTGAGAAATCTTTGTTTAATAATAGCATAGGCTTGTTTATCTGAAAAGGGGGCTACATAATCCGGGGATATTCCCATTGTAGAGAGTTTCTCCTCTACATATCTAAGACATGGAGAGAGATGGGACTCAGTTAACATGTGAGTAATAATACTTTTAGCTTTAGCATGGAAATGAAGTTTAAGTCAAAACTGAGTTGTTATCAGCCATGCTCAGGTTGATAATAAGTTTCAGTGGATCCAGCTTTCTGGTACTGGTCCACTTCTGAATGTCTGCCATGTACGATTACAGAGATGACTGGAAGCAGGTATTCTGGACTGCAACATGGTTTCAACTACTTAACTTGGAAGGCCCAATCCTACTAAATCCGCCAGTTCAGTCTCTAAACTGTCAGCTAGAGTCAAATAGGGTCTGGGTGGCGAGTGGATTCTTGTACAAGGAGAACCCATCATATGGCAATCTCCACAGTGGAGATACTGACACCTTCACTAGCTCTGAGACCCAAAAACTTCTGCACCAGAAGAGAGATATGAAAATCACCTCCATTGTCTCCTTTGACATTTTGCTCAGGCCTCAGCCAATCAGTGTGGTTGGAGGAAAAGTGTACAGCAGACCACTGGGTCAACGACAAGTGTGTGTGCCCTCACCCTCTGCTCTGCAGTCATAGAAACTGGTTAGAAAACTGGCAACTTGGTTATAGTTTGATGTTGTAAAAAGATCCAAGATAGGGATCCTGAAACAAGTTGCCATTTCAGACTGCACCACTTTTCCCCCACCATTTTTCACCCACGCGGGCGATCTCTGCCTTTTTTTTTTTACGTTCGCTTTAAAGCGCCATAGCTATAACAACACTCTGGGCGTTATCTCCGGCTTTTTTTTTTTAATGTTCGCTTTATAACGCTATAGCGCTATAGCACGATAACAAAACACTCCAGGTATTCCAATGGGGTTGATATACTGCTGTTCCGCTATAGCACTATAATGCTATAAAACAAACATTTTTTAAAAAAAACCCGGAGATTGCCCACGCAGGTGAAAAACGGCGGGGAAAAGCGCATCGGAACCGGGAGAGGAAACTGAAGACTACTTGGAAGGAGTTGACAGGTAAAACGCTTCAGCCCCATTTCCTAAACAGGACAGTGGTGTTTGTGTGTGAAATTACATATATATTCCGGTAGGGAACCGGTTCTAAAACGGTTCTGTCTGAAATGACAGACCGTGTGTGATTTTGCTAGAAGACCTTTTTGTGTAGACACCATCCTGCTCAGCCAGTTGGCTTAGCGGTTTGTAAGACCATAAAGGTGTTCCGCTTTTAGACCTACCAAAAATTTTCCCTGCCCAAACTAACAGGATTTTTGGACTCACAGAGGAGCACTATCGATCTGGTGTCTCCTCGCTGATTGCTGTGCACCTTGGCTGTACTCTCTCTCTTGCTTCAAATATGGGAGACTGAAAAAGTGTGCATGCACACGAAAGCTTATATCCAGAATTAAACTTTGGTCACGATCACACAAAGAATTAGCCGTGCCATAGGTGCAAATGCCGGGCAGATTTTAAGG